AACGACAACCGACTCTGTCCACTGCAGCCGCCAACAAGATGCTGATCGCACTCGATGCACCGCTCAACCTTACCATCAATTGCTCACAGGTTTTTATTCGAAGAATTTCAAGCAAAGCAAATCATTTATAAAAATATCATTTACATATTACCATCTTCATTATCATTATCGTGAATGTTGCTGTAACTTTTGTGACAGTAACGCTTGAATTGTAGATGTTGGGCGAGTGGCTGCTGATCGGTGCTCAAGAAGGTTTATTCATCACACAACTCTCATCCCCACGTGTACCGTTCGTTGTGGCTGGACTTGCGGCAGTTTTTGACGTGCGATTTTTGACTGAATTCTTTTTTGTTTTAATAAAAATTTCATTGGTTATTTTCGTGTTGTGCGATTTTCATTGTGCATTATGAGGATTGTTTCAGATGAAGTTATTGCCCGATTTGGATATGTTGATAGCGATTAGTGGTTTGCAACGACAGCTTGTGCAAATGCACGTGTCGGATCTGAAAGCTGGNATATGTTGATAGCGATTAGTGGTTTGCAACGACAGCTTGTGCAAATGCACGTGTCGGATCTGAAAGCTGGCTTTAAATGCGATCGTCCCACTGTCCGACCGACCGTAATCGCGAATCTGGACACGTGTCACTTGATCACTGTTCATACTGACCAACGTAAACTTATCAGGTCACTTAATTTTCATTTATTTGCGAATATTTCTTTTGCAACTTATTTTCATTTTTTACTTCATGCGGTAGTGTTTTCTATTCAAAAAAATGAATTAAGTGATTACTAATTAATAAAATATAAATGTTGTGATTTGATATCTTTTTTGGGAATTGCCACCATACACTTTCCTATTGTGATGTTGTTTCGTATTGCATCTCTGCTCTATCTTCAGATATCTGTGTGTTGCTGATCCTGATCAAATTCATATTCTTCATTACAGTTCACGATTGGGCATATTCACGCCTTTCGAGGTTATTCATTATTATTGTGAATGAATATCAATTTCCTGAAAATTGATATGAGGCGATTTCCCCGTATTTGCCCATCAGAAGTTTTGAAAAGCTTGGTTTCGATTTTTTAGCTTGAATGTTTTTTTTTAAGTTGATCTCAACGGTTGAACCAGCCACATGCCTTATTTCAATGAACGACGGGATCGTTTTTGGCGCAGATCAGTTCTACTATGTTGATATGGAGACAATAACGTCAAGACCGATCGTTGTGGCTGGATGTCCGTCAGATTTTCCACTTGCTGCGGTCGCCATTTCAGACCGAGAACTTCTGCTTGCCTATCATAGTATGTGATTTTTGTGGGATGTGTGCTTTTTGATCTGCTTGCGAATTCGGATTGACAGTTGGTTGAGTGGAATGCATAGAATTTACAAGCAAATTCAAGATTAGATTCGTGATGCGATTATTCAAAACATACTCAAACGTCGATACTTCAAAAAGAACGCATATGTTTGACCGTAATTTGTCATATTTTGGAACTTTATTCGCGTGTTACTTCCGAATCGGTGTTGTTTTCACTGCACATATGCTTGCGTTTATCTGTGTGTGAAAGTTGTTATGCTAATCATTTTTTTCCGCAACAGATTTCGGCGTATTCACTGATATCAGTGGGAATCGAACGAGACCGGAGAATGTCGACTGGAATCGAGCGCCGCTGGAATTCGGTTAGATTCTTTTGAAATTATTTCTGCTTTTCATGATACCTTATTATGCTTCCATTGATTACTTGTTAATCATTTCTGGAGTAGCGATGCTCTTTGAGGTGCTTAAATGAAGGAGTTCAACTGAATTGATTCGTGTTTTGAATTTTGATCGAGCATTGCAGAGAATGTTGAGATTTTATTCTAATTTTTCTAGGAATGCTATTTTTTGTTGTTGTCATTGTTGATTGCTATCCAGTTTAAGAGGAATTTATTTATTGTGTTTATAATTTCGAGTGAATGTTAATTTTAGTATTCGTTGCTCCAATACTTTATGTGGTTCACAACGATACTTT